ATAGGCACAAATGATAAGTGATTTCGTCTACCCTCATCACCGTAAAAAATTCATCGCACGATCACGATTGTCGGATAATGTTCTATTTCATTTTTTTTTTCTACAAATCGAAACAAACTGATTATGGGAATTTTTTTCACAAAATATTTTCACACCAAGTTTTGGGCATCCACTCCACTCTTAAACTTGCATCTGTAAAAAAAAAAATCTAAAAAAATAAAAAAATTCTTCATAAAACAAAACGATCAAAATACTCCTAAAAGTTTCAAGGGATATTTTGATCATTTATTTTATCAAAAAATTCATTATAATTTTTTTTTTGAATTTGCCTCATTAAGATGATGACATGTATCGAATTTTATATTAATATAATTAATATAAAAAACTAAAAATAAAATACTTTGAAACGTCAGATCTAAATTAAATAGTTAATAGCTCACTTGTTCTAAATTGCATGGCTGGATAGAATCTTTTATCCAGTAGGGAAAATATTGAAACCTTTCCCTCTTGTGCATCCCTTCAGAGTTTCTTCAATCAGACACTGGGCAGACCCAACCTTTGAGAGTGAGTTATTTCCTTGACCTGAGTTTCCATAAGTAAATTGGCGCTCATTCAAAAATAAATACAGAGGTGGCTTCCATGGTCTGGTCGTCGATATTGGACCCTGATTTTAATAAGGTGAGTTCAAATTTCGGCTGCTCCTTTACCACCATTATTTTACCCAGCCAAAAAATGTGAGTAATAATTTCAGAGTTTCAGACCAAGTTCTCAAAGATTACTAAAATTTCCTCTCCAGTCTGCTTTAATACGCCTCTCAAAATGCATTGGTTGATGGCATATATCACCTTGCCCCCCACTCTAAGCATGAGCTACTCCATGTGGGTGCCACCCGATCAGCTGAAATCAAGTAACAAATATAAATTCTGTTACACAAAATATTCAGCTGTCATTTGAATTACAATAGTACAGTGTATATTTTGAGGAGTCCACAACATCAGCAATTACCGTCAAATGATTACCGATAGAGAATTTTTCATACTCTAACTGCAAGTATTTCACTTCTTCTAAGACAAATAATTTGGTGAAGTCTCAAGAAACTTTCAACCCAAACCTGAAGTGGAGCGAGATTTACTCTTCCTTTTATCCAAGTCTTTACTTTTGACTAACTAGAAACTGAAAGTTCTTTATGTTTCAGAGGTTTTTAAGAAATTGAAAATTTGTTAAAACTGAAAATTAATAAAAGAAGAAAAATTATGGCACTCGCCATGCAGTTAATTTTAGCTTTGTTTTGATCCTTGATCTTACTTCTATGCCTGTAAGTTCAATTAGATTAACAAAATTTCCAACAATTTCTTCAATAATATCAACAATGCATTTTAAGGTGGTATGAAGTCCCTCACACATCCAAATGATGAAGCTTGTCAAAGCAGAATGCAACCATGTAAGGCCCAGCCAAGTCCCCGAGTGCACAACCTGTGAGAGAGAGAATTCCTGTCATGCTTCACATAAGAGAGCTCATAGAAAGGTTCCCAATGTTATGACTAGAAAACCAGATGCAAAAAATGACGGCTAAAACATGTTAAAGTGGACAACAAAGTAGTGCTAGAATGGGTAAATAAAGCAAGAAAAGTCATTTTATGACGTGGTATATCTCTCATCCGTGTTGAGAAGGAAATGAGGTAATATCGGCACGCAAACTGATTGAGCAAGCTGACCTTAGACTTCCCACACCACGATCGGCCTTCCTAAGTTACATATCCAGAGTAATACAGGTAATACAAATGGGTGGGGACCCTAGTCCCAGCTAAAATAGCCAATATATATATATATATATATATACATATATATATATAAATAAAAAGGAAAAAGTTTATATAAGGTTACAACTTTAAAATGTAGAATTACATATGCGCCTCAAAAAAAGTTTATATAAGGTTGCAACCTTAAAATGTAGAATTATATTTGCGCCTCAAAAATCCATTGGAAAATATTCTTTTAATGATGAAAAACCCTCTAATTGATCATCTCGACATCGAGATGCATGAATATGAAAAAAAAAAAAAAATTGAGTACGAAAAATAGTGCATCCTGCATCACATTATCTAGACCGTCCATTTTCAAGATTTTCATATGTTTATAGATCTACTTGATTTTAGCTATTTTTGGAATTTAAAATTTTATAATTAGATACGAAAATAGATTTTAAGATAATCCTAATACTTTTTACACCAACATTACATATTATGATAAGATTTGGATGTGCGCCTTAATTGGATTGCTTAAGGTTGCAACCTTATAGAAACCACACCCTGTATATAATCTCCAACATGGAGATCGTTAATATGTAAATAAATAAATTTTAAAAACAGTAAATTATAATTTTATCAAGAAAATATTTAGACCATTGATTCTTTTTTTCATTTTGGGACGACCACCCGTTTGCATACAACGGGCGCCTAGGGGTTTTGGGTGCCTGGCGCCCAGAGACAAGGTGCCCTCACCAAAATTGAACACCCCCCCTCCCCTACCCCTCGCCCAAAACAAAAAAAACAAGGGAGTTCTTAGGGTATGGTTTTAAGTCTTTGGAAGTTTTTAGGGCAATTTTAGAGCCTCAAACTCCTCATAAAATAAACGAAAATGTAATAGTACAATCACATAACAAATTTACAGATACAAGTCTCAAAGAGATTGTAACTTGTAAGACATTAAAATGCTTGAAATCTCAAATATCATTGTAAGAAATTAGAAGTCTAGACTAAGAAATGATACAAAAAGTCAACAAGGAAAAATAAAAAAACAAATACATCAAGTCATCAACCAAATATGTAAATATATTGTAAAAGAAAAAAAAAAGCTAAAAGAAAAAACGCATGATTCGCAACATAATATGTTATAGAAAAATAAAATTAAAACCATCTTTCAAATATGATAATACTTTAAAAATATCAAAATCAAGTCGATGTCGATGCAAATTTCGTATATTGGGTCACTAAAAATCCTCAAAATCAACTACTAGAAGCTCTAAATCCACCCACGAACAATTGCCTTTGTTTTGAGAAGAAATCGCAAAAATAAAAACTTTATCGATCTTTTGATGAATCACAAAAAAGTAATTTTTGTAGGAGTTTTTCTCACCCTAAAAGCCATGGTTTTTATTTTGGGGGTTTAGAATACCCCACAAAACCTTTTTTCCCCCTTTTAAGGAGGGCAAAATGACATTTTTTTTACCATTGCTGAGGGTTTTTTTAATCCACGTCGTCTGAAAAAATTGAACAGCACCAAGCCTATGGGCGAAAACACTGTTCACTTTCGCCCATAGGCGTTGCGTAGTCCCTTCCATATATATATATATATATATATATATATATAGTAGACGACTACTACTACACAACGACGACCGTACCGTACGTACGGACGTAAGTCGTACTAACTAATAGTTACGTTTCCGTACCTAGTACGGTACCT